CTGGGCAGACTCTGCCCGCAACAGCCTGACCAGCTCAGGGGCGCGCCGCATCGGTGAACCAGCTGGATTCTCGAAATAGACGGCAACTTTCCATTTTATGGCCAAGCGGATGACCTTACAAGTGAATTTAAATGTCGCATTGCCGACGCCCAGCCGCGCCCGCTCGCTCGGGGAGAGGCCCGGTAGCCCCAAGGGATGCTGCTGGGAGCGCAGCGCCCGCCGCAAAGCCTGACTCCAGGTAGTGCACGGCGCCCCGAGCCAGATGCCGGCCACGCAGCCGGCTGCGACCCAGACCAAATGATTCTCGCGGGCACCGCGGCTGATGTCGAAGCCCACCGCTGCGAAACCCTCGGCCGTCAGCGCGGCCGCGATGCATCCTTTTCCACAGAACAGCTCGACGAAAACGAAACGTCTGCGCAGCCGGCCCTCGCCAACGGCCTGCAGAAGGCTGCCGGCACGCGGGGCCGCGCGGCGCCTGGGCCAGCTGTCAGCGGCGGCGCGGCTTCCGGCCACGTCCTGCTGCAGCCGCTGCCAGGCTGGGCCGGGCGCCCACCAGGCCGGCCAGGGCCGCTGGCACCTGGCCCCGCAGCGGGCGCGGCCCGCCGGCCAGGGCGCCCTCGATCACGCTCCTGAAGTTCGCCTCGACCAACTTGCCGAACGACAGCGTGGTGGCAGGCACCCAGTGGAGCTCGGCGAGCAGCTTCGACTCCTTCGCGTGCCGCTTCATGCTGCTGCTGCTGTGGCCCCATCGGCCTCTGCGCTGCACCTGCTCCGGCGTGCCTAGCCCCCGAATGACGTCCTCCGAGGCCCCCCCGTGGCGCAGCGAGTACAGGTGAGGGCGAAGGCGGCTGAGCGACAGGTGATTGGCCGCCTCGGCGAAGGCTTTCTTGTACTCGTTGAGGTCGAAGTCCCATAGAGACGCCTCCGCTGGTGTCGCCAGCTTTAGGGCCTCCAGGACCGGGAAGCACCAGCTCGCGGTGTCGATGATCACCGACTCCTCGAAGAAGCCGACCTTGCTCGGGACCCGATCCACCACGTCGTGCAGTAGGCCAAGCCCGCCGCAGCCGCCGGCTGGACCAGGCTGCGGCCCCGGAGGCGCAGAGCTTCGCCGGGGCGGAGGTGGCACAGGAAGCTCGCGACCACGCATATCGCCATCCGTGCCTGGCCCCAGCTGGCCAGCAGGCCCGCGATCGCAAAGCAGGCGCTCCTCGGCAGCGGCAGCCACGTGTGAGCAGGGGCCCGACGAGCCCAGGCGATGGCACATCGCTTGGCCCGAGGGAGCACCCGCGGCACTGCCTTGTACAGGACTGGCATCACATGGCTGAGGGCCGCCAGAAGCTGCGACCCCGTGTTGCCGTTCTCGCCCAAGAGGTACATCTGATCGAAGTACTCGACCAGCAGCGCGTCGAGCTCCGTCGTCGAACCCCAATCCCGGCGGCGGGCCGAGCAGAAGGCCGCGAAGGCCTCGAGCGCCATCTGGTAGTTCTTGGCCGTCGAGGGGAGGATCGCAGCGTTCTCCAGAGTGGACTGCCCTCTGAAGCGCAGAGCGGCTCGGGCCACCTGGGCGGCCGCCTGAGCCCGCTCGCGCTTCAGGGCCGACGCCGCAGGCGCTCGGGACGTCCGAGCCCCCTGCGTGCCCAGCGCCTGCAGGAGGAAGGCGACCGCAGCCAGCAGCAACAACACTCGCATGGCCGTCATGCGGACCACACTGACCGTATGAGCGCGCTCCTGAGAACCATCCGACCTCGCCCCTGGAAACCGGGTCGGCCGGGTTGAGCTCCGACGGAATCCACCTGACGGCGAGTCTCGAGCCTGTAGCGAGCGACAAAGCACATATGCGATACAGGCACTGGCGAAGGTGAACAGACCTGGCACGCCCCTTGCCTACAGCCAACACCAGAGGAAGGTTGTCCGAGAGGATCAAGACACGGCGGCCATGGGCCCTGCAACTTCTCAAGACGCTCGTGAAGCCCATGACCAGGGCTTCACCTTCAAGAAGCAGGATGTTGGGCTCCATCTCGACGTGAGTGGCTGACACGCAGCCCCAGCACCCTGGACGTAGAAGTTGCCTGGGTACCTCCGAGAACTCCCCTGTGTTTGAGTCGGGACCCTCCTCAATGATGGCCCACAAGGGCCCCTCCTCCCGCTCCAAGATCATCGAGGTCTCCTCGCCCACCCCAAACTCCTCCAGGGCCCGCTGCCGGGCCCGAGCACCACCCTCGATCTTGAAACGGAACCTCTCCTTCTGGCGGCCTATGTCCTGGACCTGGCCCGGGCTCAGCCTGCGGCGGGCGACCCCCAAGCCGAACGGCGACGCGTCTGTGCAAGCCACGTGGGGATGCCAATCAGCTTGGAGATCTACGCATTACAAGGGTAACAAGTTGCGAACGCTCTCGAGCTCTTGCCTAACCGAGGTCCAAAGACGGCACGGCAAGGGACCAGCAGCCTGGATGAACGCGTACGTGGCATGCAACAAAGACAAGCACTCTCGACGCACCAGACTAGTCCAGGTAATATGTCCAGCAATGACGCGTAAGAGATGCCCGCTCACCCTCGATCTCTTAAGCAGCTCATCCAAGGCGTACCGAAGCCTCCAAATATTGCGCCCCTTGACCGAGAGGAATCGACCGGCTCTGAGAGACATCCCCAAGAACTCACGGTCCCTGCTGGCCCCCTCAAGCTCGTGGAAGACAAGGCCCAGGCCCCGCAACTGCTTGACGACGACGTTGAGACGACAAGCCACAGCCCCCGGGTCAGGCCCCAAGGTGAGGAAGTTGTCAACATAGGCAGCAGACGCGGTGTCCCCAGGAAGCCTAAGAACCACTCCAGGCCTGCCGTCAAGTACCTGCTCGCCCCTCCTGAAGCCCCCTTTGTCCAAGGTCCCTTCCAAGACGCTCTGGCATAAATGGAGAGCCCACGAGAAGCCCATCGGTAATACTCGCACGCATGGTAGCATCGTTACACCGGCCCCGCCAGGGACACCAGGTATGTGAAGCATTTGTAAATACGAGGAGTCTATACAGGGCAAGCTAAACATGTGCCCCATTCCTTTAGGAAGCTGCATATGGTAAAAAGCCACATCCAGACCCCCGCTCGCCACATACACAGGGCCCCCCTCGGCTTCCAAAGAGGCGAAGGCAGAAGGGGGCGGAAGACGAGTCGACGGGGGGATCCACGAACCTGCAGAACGCAACTCTGGCATCGAAAATGATGCGCTGTGCGACGCTTCTTCTTCCCCAAAAAAAACAAACCGAGGTTGCCTTGCCGGCCCATGGCGCGCTCCCAAGACAGCATCCCCCGAGAGGACATATCGGCTAAAAACTCAGCATACCGCCACGGCAAATTCTTGGGGACGGGATCCACATGAGGCCCCCGTGGACAGACTTCCTCTTGCAGGGCCCGTGCCTCCGACTCCGGGCGGAGCACTTGGCACTGCCAGTCTTCCAGCTGTTTCAAAACAGGCCCCGATGCAAGCGACTCGAGTGGCACTGGATCCACCTGCTCAGAGGGCCACGAGACTAGGTCTCGCTGGAAGGAAGCGACCGCGCCCCCGTCTGACGAGTAAAGTGCGGAGCCGTCAAGGAGCGCCGACACGGTTCCCTTGGAAAACGAATGCTGCTCAGACGGGCCCACTGCGTGGGGCCCGACCGCGCGGCAAGTTGCAATAATATTATATACGGCGGCACGCTGCCCGGCATTCGAGAGCTCACTGCCGCGGGAGGTGCAGCCATAGGTCTTATTGAAAGTGTGGATGTCATCGCAAGCGAGTGGCTTGTCATGCTCACCACGGAGAACCCGACGGCGCACAGCTCGCGACACAGAGACTGGGGCAGGTAGGGCAGCGAGGGAATCAGGAAAAGGGAGGGGAAAAATGTCACGCTGCCGCCCATCGGGAAGCCCCCGACGATGCTCGCTGCCGCCGACCTTCAGAAGGCCGGGTGGACCCTGCAGCCCTTCAAGGCTATCTCGGGTGGAGGCCAGGTCCCGAGCCTCCACCTGGCGTGCACTCACCCCTCGCCCTTTGTGCCTTTCCTGCCCTTCTTGTCCTTGTCCCTGTCGTGGCTGCCCGACGCACCTGACGCCAGCTGGCGCTCCTCGCGCGCCTTCCGCAGCTCCTTCTGCACCGCCACCTCGCGGGCCAGCTCTGCCGACACATGCTGCTGCAATGCGGGGGCCACGCAGACGTCGCCTCGCACCTCGGCGGTCCCCATCATGAGATTACGATTGATGTTCTCAGGCTCGGCCGAGGCGCTGCGGGCGCGGTAGCGCTCTTCTTGCACCTGGAGCGCCCTCGCGATGAGCTCACCGCACGCCAAGTCACAGGCGTTGAGCTGGTCGCGCGAGATCATGGTCTCCAAGAGGCGGCTGCACGACAGGTGCACCTCGACTCCAGCATCATCTGGATCCAACCCCATCTCGGTCCTCCAGCGCGAGTGGCGCGCGAGCGGTGAGCCGCCGCGCCGCTGGATGCTCTGCAATGCCCAGTGCGTGGTCCGAGGCCCGCGAACTGGGAAGTCGGCCCGCGCGCGCTCGGACTGCGCCAGCACGCCCTCGCGGAAGTCCAAGAACCGCTGCCCGCGCCCGTCGCGGGCGGCCGCCAGCACGCGCAGGTCAGGAGCGTCGAGGGCGGCAGGCCCCACGCCGACCACGGCCGGCGCCGCGGGCGCCGCTCCGGCCGCGGCTCCGGCGGCGGCGGGCGCTGCGTCCGCGGCGGGCGCCGCCGCGGGCAGCGCGGCCGCGGGCGCAGCCAAGGCACCTGCAGCCGCCGGCGCGCCTGCCGCTGCCGCCGCCCCCGCCCCAGCAGCGGGCCCGCCCAGAGCCGCCACGAGCCCGGCGAGGCCTCCTCCTGCAGCCCCCGCCGCGACAGGCGCAGCCGCGGCCGGCGCCGCCACCAGCGCGCCCGGGGCCGCTGGCGCGCCTGGCGCGCCCGCCTGGCCCGCCGGCGCTGCGTCGCCCGGCGCCGCACCGGCCGCGGGGTTGGCAAGCGGGCGCTGCCCGGCGGCCAGCCCGAGGACGTTGCCAGCAGCCAGGTCCAGCAACAGCGGCCCCACGGGCGAAGGCGGGTAGCCCGCGGCCACTGCTCGCCCCACGGCGCCCCAGGCCTCCGCGGCCGCCGGGAGGCGCCTGAAGCGGTGCACGTGCCCGGCCGCCAGGGCCAGAGGATTGCCTCCCTGCCCGGCCAGGCGCACCACCTCCGCGACGTCGGGCCCTGGAACGTTGGGCTCGTCGTAGTCGTCGAAGTCTGGCGTCGCGATATAGCTGGGGGCACCGCGCTCGCCAATCGTGAGCCTCTCATGCCAGAGCACGGGCCCTGGCACTCTGCACCGCACACACTGGAACGAGCCCGCCATCAGCAGTCAGCGAGATGACCGGCGGCCTGGCACTGGCTGCGGCTGCGGCTGGCCCTCGCCTGCTCCGCCGCGCGCTTCGCGAAGTCCGGCGCCTCGGGGCCCTCAAGCCACGGCGGGGGCCCCCGAGTCAGCTCCGCGCGCCGCCGGGGCCAGCGCGCCTGCACCGCGGCGCCCGCCAGCCGCAGCGCCGCCTTCAGCGCCTCCAGCAGCAGGTAGGCGACGACCCCGACGCCCAGCTGGGAGGTCCAGCTCGTCTCGCCTGCCTCGCAGGCGGGGCAAGGGGCACGCGGGTCTGGACAGCTGAGCGCCGGCCCCTTGGCCCCCAGCGCTGCGGCCAGCCACTCAGACAAGGGCGCGCGGGTGACCTCGTCCCCGTGTGGCAGCAGCAGCGGCAGTCAAAGGTTTTTAGACTTGAGCCAACGTGCGAACCACGGAGCACTCACACTGTCCACGTCCACTAGCTAAACCTGTCGGTGAAAATATGGCACGCATTCACATGCCCTAATCTTTCTTGCAGGTTTAGAGCCCCCCTGTGGACGTTGCAAGCTCCTAATCGTCAGTGCACTGGCGCCTTCGCGCGCTGGTACAAAACAAGTGAGATGTTCTCCTTGATCTCACTGGAACACCTCTGTGGTGTCCGGCACCGGGGCAGGAGGTTGAGGACAGGAAGGGAAGAGGAGGGGAGAACAACAACCACCACCACCGCTGCCGATCGAGTCCTCGGAGAAGCTCGAGAAGAACTCACTCCAAGAAATCATCTCGGCCTGATTCAACTCCTTCCGTGAGGCGGCTTGGGAACGATTCTTCAGGCCTGGCTGCTCTCGTCTCCGCTCGACTTCTGACCCTTCGTCTATGAGGATCAATCTCCCGCTGGTCATGAGGTCGAACAGTGCCGCGTTACACTTGGTAACGTCATCCTTGGTCAACGAGTCGACTGGCATCCTACCGCGCGGTATCCAACGAACTCTACCTCTAGCACGTTCTAGAGCCTCGCAGATTATAGCTAGGTCGATGGCCGTGTTTCTATCTTTTGCGCTAGCATTTCCTTCCTTCATCATCGTGTCATACATAGACTTGGCATCTACAACGTGCACCTGCTTCTCTCTAGATCCCAGACGGCAGTCCCGGCGTAAAACAGTAGTGAACGGCCCAGATCCCCTATGATGGTCTCGAACATGGACATCATTAAAAACAACATCTCGGTATACAATCTGAAGATATTCTACTTCCGCTACAGCGGCAGACAGGGCTTGTGTTTCCCCCGCTAACGTAGAGGGCACCTTCCCACGGAGCTTTGAGCTCCTCCAGTCGAGGATAGACGCCTTAACAGCCTTGTTATCTAGAATGGCTTGGTCACAAGCGAGAACCATCCATGCCCCTTGGGTAGGATCCTCGGGGAGGCCCTTCTCGTCCATCATATCCCCAAAAGCGCCCACACCCCCTGCATCTGAAAATGATACGAAAGCCATTTAATCTGGGTCCAGCTTCCATACAGTAATGCCCCTGGATGCTGATGATCGCAGATGGCGAACGAGCTTATTGGCGATGATGATGTCTCTGGTGGTTGCCGCCTTCAGGCGACTTGCCAAAATACTCGCCACTCCGGCTGCCTCTGGACGAACCTCGCGTCCGAGCCAGTTGAACTTACACACTAGAGATCTCAAAGCACGGAACTCAGAGGGTTCAAGTGGAGCATCTTTGTGCGACAACCTACCTCGTGCCACGGACAACGGTCGCATCTCCTCCAAGATATACTTTTCCATATCTACGGCAGCACGTTTGGGCCCGATGGTGATTCGACGTCCTGCAAAGTCCACCGGTCCGGCACCACAGTCGCGGTATTTCCCGAACTTGAATCTCGATTCCAGTCGGTCCCTGAGCCACTTGCGGTCCTCGGTCGTAGCGCTCCCAATAAAGAAGTCGTCAACTTCTAGAAGCATCATGTTCCGAACGCTGCCGTTTGGTCCATATCGTATCCACCAGCAGGGTTCTAACAGGGAGCGCGTAAAACCGTGACGCTCCAAGAAGCTGACGACCGTCTTTCTCCAGGCCATGGGAGCATCGTCAAATCCGTAAACATTCACCTTTAAGAGAATCAAGGAACCTGGGGGAAGTCTGATTCCTTCGCAGGGTTCCACGAAGATTTGGCCCTGGGTGCGGGACATGGGGTCGGACTGACAGAACGCATTTTTAACATCGGCAATGTCGGCGAGTAAACCCAGGTTCATGACCACCTGCAAAAACATAATGATACTCGACGTTTGCGGTGTTGGGGCATAGACCGCCAAAGCTCCTGAATCGGGGTCCCTGTGCCCATGAACACACCATCGTGACTTGGCATCGGGGTCCTTGAACGTTCCTTCCACCGGCTTCCATCGTCGGACCATTCTGCTGGAAATGATCCGATCCGAATGCAGCTTCCGCACAACTTCCGCCTTCGCTGGGGAAATGATCTCGACGGCTCCCGTGCCTAGCATCGCCTCCCACTCCTTGGAGTCGGAGGCGGCGAACTTCTCCCTCTCGGCTGGCGACAGATTTTTCAGAGAACCCCCCCCCCCCCCTACTGGTGGCAAAGACCTCGGAATCCTCGAAAACTCCTGGGTCCAGGAGCCTGGCCTGGACACCGTCGCCAACCTCCCCTGGGAAGATGAGAAAGTCAGCGGCTTCTCCTGCGGGCGAACGACTCCTGCCTCTAGCGGGTGGTCGTGCTAGGCCTGGTGTCTCGAGATCGCGCACCATCTGGCTGACTGGTCTTCGAGGTTCCAGCCGGCCTGACTGCACCTGTCTGGCTGGCTCCTCCTCTCTCACGACGGGCGACGCCCCAGCTTCGGAGGAGGAAGGCAGGGGGTGGGAAGAGGAGGAAGGACCAGACGAGAGGGAAGGGGCAGTCGCAAGGCCAGGAGGTGGGGACCCAATCCTTGGTCTTTTCACTTCCGGTGGGGCCTCGGACCTGGCACGTCGGATGCATGCCGCCGGCGCGTCCTCGGGCTGCGCCGGGCGTGCCCTGGGTCTGGGAGGAACGCTGGTCATCCGAGATCCCCCAGCCGCCCCTTCTGACATCGGCCCCTCTTGAAAACGAGGAAGAAGAGAAGGAAGAGGAGGAGGGGCAGGAGGCACAGAAACGGAAGGAGGAGTAGCAGCAACCGGAGAAGGAGAGGCGGAGGGATCCGGGGCAGGGATCGGAGGCTCAACTCTCTCTACTCCTTCCCTGGAACCATGAGCTTCCGAGGACTGACGGGAGAGGTCGTTAGATGGGAACCTGGTCCTCTCTGACCCGGCTTGGGCTTCTGCCGATCCGGCCTCAGAATTTGGCCCTCGTCCCTCGGCCCTGGGACCCTCGGGAACGCGGCGAACCCCGGAAATGGGAATCGAGGCCCCTGGGGAAAACGAGGGAGCTGGGACCGCTGGGGCGGGGCGACTAGCCTCTGGTGATGGCTCGGGTTGACCTGGCACCTGAGGGGCTGGATCCATATCCCTCCTAACCTGGTCGTCCCATGCATCCTCTGGTGGTGGGCCCTCTCGCTGCACATCCACAGCGGTGGCTCGACGGGTGGCCGACTGTCTCAGCAGCTCCTGCCATTGAGGACTCTGTGTCAACTGCACCCCCAGCTCCTCATCAGCACTTGCGAGACGCAGCTGCTCGGCCGAGCACTTCCACAAACGCGCTCGCACCGCCGCCCAGACAGTCCCGCCCTGAGCGAGCACCACGGCCCCGGGACCACACCATCCGTCACGACGCCGGCCAAGAGCATCTGCTCGAGACGAGGACCTAGTCATATGTCTCCACACGTAGACCCATTGTCCTGGCAAGAACTCCCTGGGAGCGGGGCCCCGGGCCCTCGAGGCACGGCTTATCTTCTCGTGGGCCATTGCTCGCATAGCTAGGTCGCGAGCAGAGGCCCTGATCTGCAGGGCCCTGGCGAACTCAGCACCGGCCGCATCCTGCTCGGAGGAAGGTCGGAGGGTGTCTTCCCAGCCTGGGAGACCGTAAGAATCGTCGCTTAAAAGGTCGTGTGGGAGTCTTGGGTTTTCTCCGGACACGAGCTGAAGTGGCGAGAACCCTCCTCTGTGCCAATATCGATTCTTATGGGCGGTGAGCTCGTGAACGAGCGTGTCCAGCTCTTCCAGATCCCCTTGCGGATGAGCTCCGGCGTCGAACTCAACCTTCACACGGTCTTTAATCCAACCCCCATGGCGTTCAACCTTCCCGTTTTGCCAGGGGGAGTCCGCGTCGCACACATGGTGCTTCACCCCCCATTGCTCTAACCCTCGAGCGAAACGTTCTCCGAACTCAGAACCTCCGTCGGAAATCGTAAAATGGGGAGCGCCTAGTGGCCTCAACCAGCATTGCGCAAAACCGGCCCAGACAGTGGCGGCCCTAGCATTCGCGACCCTGCAACAGACCTGAAGATTGGATCCGTGGTCGACCACGTTGATGAACGGATGCGAGACCCCTTGGAAATCCAAATAGAACAGGTCGATGCCCACAATGTGGTTGAAACGAAAGGTCCTAGGAAGAGCCACCCGGCGGTGGTTGCCCGCTCGTCGATGCTCCTCGCACTCGGCACAGCGGAAACTATTCCTGGCCCATCTTATCAGGTGGCGCTTGACCCCCCCGGCTCTAAGAACTCGACAGAAACGACGGGTCTCGGGATGGCCCATATTGACATGGACTTTGTACAAAAGCCTCTTGTCTTCCTCCGACGGATCCATCTCGTCCTGAGGGGTGACATTGGCATCCTGGGGAACCCGGGTCTCTGGCTCATCTCCGCTGTCGGCGTCGCTTCCTTCCTCGGCTTCCGCAATCGACTCCAAGCGTGGGCCGCTGCCTTCCTCCGCTTCCGCCGGAAAGGAGTCCTCGCCGAACTCAGCCCAGGTGGGCCTAGCGCCAGCTGACGCGCCGCTCCAATGCTCGGTCACCGCTCGGGCAACCAGCTTAACGAATCTAGGAGTGTATCGGGCGGCCCTCGAGGTCTGATGGCTCCCCTCCAGCACGGCATGTCTGTGGTCTCCAACATACAGATGCCCACTGAGAAGCTTCTGCAGATGGGGGTGGTTCGTGAGGATGCCGGTTGGTTTCTCATTTAGGCCTCTGGAGTCCACTTGGAGCCCAAACCTACACATTTCCACCCGCAGACGCTTGACCCCTGGGAGATCCATGACATGTTGAACCACGTGGGAATCCCACGAGCTAGCATACAGAGGGTGCTCGAAGACGAAGTACTGTCCCTTAGCTTGTTGGTGCTGCGCCACCTCCATACAT